TATGGGAAACACTGAGCACCCCTTCCCCCCGCCGTTGACGTTCACGATACAGAGGGCTTCATCAAATAACTTTGAGTGGAGCCAGAAGTTGGAGTACCTCAGTACCTCACTGAGAAAGTTATGTGCACCCCTGGTTATAGTGACACATACATAACAAAAGTTTTTTATACCAATTGTGTGAAATTATTGTTTTGCTTCATTAATCGTTTCATGAACTGAAAACGGTGTCTCCGGTGGATATGCTTTTCAGAGATATGAGATCATCAATCCACAATGAATTTTGTTTTAGCTTAATGCAATGCAATTTTCCTTAACAATCTTATAATCCTTTTCAAGTATTTGGATTAATAATCTGTAAAAAGTCCTTACTTTCTTTTTTATCTGTAAAAATATGGTGACATCTTTTTAGGCACATGATGTTTTGTAATTCTCATTCAAGCCACAAGAGGCTGAAGTTCTAAATAGGACTAAAATCATTTATGAGTTTCGTTTCTCTACCCTCTTAGAAACCATTTGGTCAGAGGTGTTTCTCCCTTGCCCATCAAGGCTTACACAAGCAGATGACAAACATTATTTGCTATCCAAATCAACCACATATTTAATTAATGTTTATGTAAGTTATTTGTTTAAAGCATGGTTTCGTTTGAGCAATGAGGAGTGCCTCTTTCATGTGTTTGTTCAACTCACTTCAAGTCCTCTCGCTGCCTCTGGTTGTTTCCAAGGAAGTTTCCATACTGACAGGAGTGGATGTGCTCGTGGATCTGCAGCAGGAACCACTCGCTGAACTCAAATGCCTATGGAGAGGATTACTATTTAATAAATGCAATAACCACACTGCTAATAAAAAACCAAAGTCATGTAGCTCAAACACACCTGTGGGAACTGCTCTGTCAGCTGCCACACACACTCCAGGAACTGAGTGAAGATAGGAGACACTTCTTTTGGATCCCCGTCCAACTGGTCACACCTAACACACAAACACCGTCACAAAATAAATATTAAGGGTATGACAAACCGACTCAATCTCTAGGCTTAATATATCTAGGTTAAACCTCACCTGTCTGCAAACTTGTGGCCAAAGGAGATCCAGTCTTTCTCTATCAGTACCTAAGACAAGTGTAAAGGAACGTTTGAAGTAAAAGAGACTAAATTGTAGAAGTTGTACTGATCTGCTCTTTAGTGCAATGTGTGTGCATGAGTGTGTTTGGTACCATAAGGCCCTTCATGGTGCGGTAGTAGGGGTCCATGAGCAGCGCCCCCAGGGAGCAGACCTGGGCGGTTCTGTCCCACCCGTCTGAACAATGGACCAACACACTGGCTCCTTCCACTGTCACCGCCTGGGGAGAAGAGGGGGCAGAGAGCAGGGGATTGTGGCATTAAGAAAAAAAGCAGTGAATAAGTCCATCACGATTTAAAGCGATGATATACCAAAAGTGTCATCATTAAATATCACTTAACTATTTATATATGCCATATCCTCTAAGAAAAATACTTAAATATCATGAAAAAACTATATAAAATGTGCAGAAAAGTGCTTAAGGGATGATGTATTTGTGTAGGCCCAACAAGGACTTAACATAACCCTATTTCCCTTGACAAAAGGATTTTGGATTATTGGCGAAAGTAAGCTCTCTAGCAAATAAATGTTTATGACTGGTCGTCCAGCAACATAATATTCACAAATAAACACCACCCTTTGATTACCTTGGTGAGAAAGATAGCTGCGTCCAGAACCGCCTTGATGTGCCGCAGCCAGCCGCTGCTCTCCAGGCCAACCAGGAAGTCGCTCATGGAGAGAGAGCGAGTCCCAGCCACTGAAACACAAACTCATTTCAGGATACTTATGCTTTGTCTGACAACAAATTTAAAGTGCCCTTTAAAATCGGCAAAATAAATGTTATTTGTGTTTGTGTGCCAGTGTGTGTAGCATCATGGGATTTACATTCTAGCATTTTCTGCAGGCTGGTCCTCATCACGTGGATGTTTTCGATTCCAACAAACTGGAAGCGGATGTTGGAGTAGTTGTCCTCGTTCTCGTAGCCTTTGCCTGCTGCTCGATTAGCTAGCGCATTCAACTGCAGGACGGAAAAACACAAAAGTATTGGAAAATATTGTGAAGTTTTACATTTCTGTTGAATACATACAGCAAAGATAAAAGCATTTCAGAACACAGATTAGTTTGGTGGCTACCTTTGGCCTAGTATCCATGACGTAGACAAATCGGCTGTTGTGATTGGCCTTGCAGATGGCCTGCAGCATGCTCTCATCCTCTAGGCATCGCGCGCTGAACCCGGAGAGAGGCTGACTGCATCGACATACTGCCGCCTGTCAGAGGAACAGAGTACACTGATTAGAACGAGGATTTCAAACAAGAAAAAAGTATTCCTGCTAAAATATTACAGAAATTCACCATATGACACCTATCATTACCTCCCTACTACAACAGCAGCCTAATAAAATCCTTATTTAACATTTAAAATCTAATGGGCTGATTTCAAGGAAATGTTTTGACTGCATACTTGTGGGAGAGGTCAAATCTTATCTTTGTTTGACACCCAGTGAGATTTCCTCTAGAGCCACGTCATCCCAAAGGTGTATTCCAATGAAATTTGATATCACATTCAGGCCAACCAGGGAATGAACACTTTCAATAACATGAAACCTCGGGCATTTTCCCTAGCTACACCTTGTGGATAACCTATACACATTTTAACTCAATAATGAATAAGGCTTAACAAAATGTTGAGGTTTAATCTGCTTTCACTGTGCTTAGGTTGTTATAGTACCTTCTTTTCTTGGTAGAAGTATGTGAGAACAGGAAAGCGTCCTTTGCTTCTGAATTTGGAGCTCCCCACAATGATAGGCTTACTGGCAGTGATGGGAACATACAGGTCCCGTGGGTATGTCTCACACACCTGGAAAACACACACACACACACACACACACACACACACACACACACACACACACACACACACACACACACACACACACACACACACACACACACACACACACACACACACACACACACCATTCTCACTGTCAGCAACACTAGCTTTCATCTGGTGGGCTGGAACAAGTGAGTGTTATGGTCTTACGTAAGGCTTTCACATCAACCTCAGCGTGCAGAAACTGAGAGAGAGAGCTGTATTGAGAGGGAGGGGGGGTTTGCAGCACCATTACAAAGGGGATTCGCACTGCACCAAATTCTCCTCCCACTACAAATGCATGGGCACCCAAACCACAATAACATATAAGCTTATTTTAGCAATATGTGTATTCCTCAAAACAATGAGATCCCCCCCTTCATTTATATTCAGGACTCACAGGTGCAAAGAGTTCCACCATGCATCAGCTGCCTGTCTTTGTCATCATATTAGCTGTCTGTCTTTGTCCTATACATCTTTTCCCACTACAGACTAACAGCAGACAATGACACATCCATCAGGCTTTCATCTCAGCCAATCAATAAAGTCCTATCGATAACGTATAACTCCCAAGCCAAGCAGCCCCTCTCTCCGAGTGTGACGCCACAACAAAAAATGGCACACGCTGCACAACAAAAACGTCTCTGTTTCTCACCCTTTCTCCCACCCAAGTTACTCTGTGGGGATTTAAACCACCGGGATGTGGGGGGAGGAGAGATGGAGGATGGGGGTAGATGAGAAAGGGGCTCTATCTCTAACTGGTTTTGCTCTAATTATACAAAGCCTCTGACAAGTGTATGGATTCTTGTGTAGATGTGGTCAGAAAGAGGCAGAAGCTCGTCTATCAGCGCAAACAGTTTTATTAATTAAATAAGAAAAGTGGAAAGATGTTGCACTGTGTACAGACAGACGGTAACAAAAAGAAGGAAAACATAATGTATTTTGTATCGCAGCGAATTACAACATAAAGGATAACATGTTTAATCAGAAAGAAAAGAGTCAAATGGGAACAATTCAAGGAATAAGCAAGGTGGCAATATGTGTGTGGTAAATGTCATTGTCAGTTTGCATTGTCCCTGTGATACTTAGAAGTGTTGCCAAAACAACATTTTTAACCTATGATGCATAATGACAAGTCCCTTAGTTCATAGCTCCCTTCTCTGTCTTTAACTGAAAAAACATTCATATAAATGGATTGGTGACAGTGGCATTAAGTTTAATTATCCAGCCATTACATTGATTTCCATTCTTTTCTCAATCTGAAGAATGGAGAATTAAAGTGATTGCATACTTAATACAAATAGCAAACAACAAATTATAAGCAGGGTAAATATGAACTGACATGGTCTTTCTCTACTCCCCAGATAACCTTTAGTCTGCACTTTTTAACGGCGGGGAAACACACTTACTGCAGATCATGTTACCTCACGACCTCATACTGCACTACACCAGCAGGAGGATGAACGATATCTGAACCTGGAGCAGTGTTGTGGATCAATCAACACATCCCTACTGAGATGGAAAGCTATCATGAACTAGAATAACCCTCAAGTGTCATTGGTACCGTTGTGGTTAGCAGTAGAGAAACTTGCATGATCTCGAATGTCTTGCCCTACAAAAACCCCTCTCTTTAACTGAAGGGTAGGGAACACTCTGCCCCCTGTAACTTGTCTCACTGAATCACTGACAAAGGCCTTTTAGCACAGCAAAACACCCCCTCATTCTTAAAACAAGTGGCGCTTTGCGAGGCTCAACACGCGATGGTTTGTCTTCATTTTTCTGTGCACGGGGGTCTTAGAAAACAGTAAACTTCACCATTTGTCTTGCCCCCACAAAAGAGGGGCAAAGAGGAACACAGTCCAACAGAGGAAAATATATGCTGACTAATGATCTACAATGATGTCAAGCTACATTCACACACAGCTGCGTTAGTAGAACAGCCAGGAGAGGATGGGTGAAGGACTCTGAACCTGACTCAAATGTTTTTTCCTTTACTTGTGTTTTCATACAGGAAACAGTCTATTTTAAATAAAAAGCTTGCAGACATATTCTGTCTCCCTGAAACTGGCTGACAGAAAGTACTTCTTCCTGTAACCCACTCTCATCATCCTGTACAGTGTGTTAGAAGAGAAAGCAGAGCATTAAGAAGCTGCCACATGTTTTAGATCTGAGCAGTATGACTTTTAGGAGAGACCTATAAAAAGAATATGAAATCATGTGACGAAAGTACGAAGAAAAACAACTGGTTGTTTTTGCATGTGTCCTTAGAGAAGAAAGTCATCCAGTGTAGCTACAAATACAGTGCCAAGGTTGAACAGTGTGTGTACGGTCCTTCAGTGTTAGATGATGTTCCCTGACCTTTGTGCCTTGTGGGGCACTGCATGCGGAGAGGGATAGAAAATGTGTGTGTGCATGTGTCTGTTGAAGCATCAGTGCAATGGATCCCTCCAGGTCGAGTATTGCGATAGTGTTACAAGTTTCTTTAAGTAAATCAAAAGTTGTAAATCCCAGAGATTGAGGGTGTAAGTGAGATCCAGATGCAAGACTTAGTCCATCCACAATAATAATAATAACAAAAATACAAATCAAAACTGAGGAGGTCTCCCATTCCAAAAAACACAGGATATCATGTGGCCTTCTGCAGGGCATGTTAAACAAATTGGGTTTTGTAGCTACTACAAAGTAGGCAATTAATAAAACCAGATCTCAAAAAGAGCATCTCCAAAAACAAAACAAAAATGTCTGGGTTATTCCAGCCCATGGATATTGTTCAGTCTGTCCAAGACTATCAGAGGCTGTGAAATGCAGACTAGAGTATTATTTTAACTTTGGCTCTAATATCAAAGGATTAGGAGGTAATTTGTTACAGATTACACAAGATGACAAACTCAGGAAAAACTTTGATTTGATTAGTTCCATATGAGCAACTATGCCATGTGGAATTCCATAATAAAATGTAAAAGATAAAAGGTGCTCTGCTTATCTTCTTTTTGTTTTGCAGTGTGCAGTTGAGCTTTCAGCAGGTCAGGATTTTTTTCCAGGAAGTTACAAGGCATGTGTGTCTTTTGCGAGACCAAGATTGTCAAGAGTCAACCTCCAAAGTTCCAGTGAGGGCCGTGAAGTGTTAACCCAGCTTTTTGGAGTCTCCTCGTGACTTTCTCAAGGGAACAAAACCACTTATTCTCTCCTAACCCGTCATAAGCCAAAACACATAAAGAATGAGAGCTTTCGAGATTTGAGAGGAATTTACAGGCTGTTAACTCTACAGCTCAACATTTTTCTTGGTCTGGGGAAACCTTTGGCTCTGCATAAACAGCACAGAAGTGATGTACACTCAGGTCATCAAGTTAGTAGGTGAGAAAGCACCCATTCCACAAGAGCTACTTCTTGTTTGCGGCTCCCTTTGTGCTGGCAGGTTTGTTTCCAGAACGACGGACGGGCACCTTGGATACAGGGATCCTGGTGCGAGCCGGAGGGGCCTGGGTCTTTGGTGGAGGGGATTCAGCCTCTAGCACAGACGAGAGGGCTGACTGGCTTACTGAGTGGGGAGGCGGGGTCTGTCTGCTGCTCACTGGGATCTTAGATTCCCGAGGAAGGCTGGTGCTGCCTTTCATTGATTGGAAAGAGGAAGAGGAGGAGGATGAAGGAGGGGATGTTGGTGAGCTGGGGCTCAGTTTGTATTCCGTGGATGGAGAGGGAGTACTGTTTTGATCTTCATCCTCTTCAGGGTCATTGTAGAAGTCGTACAGGTGGTCCCCAGAGCAACTGTCGCGTAACAGAGCAATCCTCTGGTTCCGCTGCAGCCCGCTCTCATCAGGTGTGGCTGTGGGCGTCGCTGAGGGTGTGTCCCAGTAACCCTCATCACTGAGAGGCTCTTTTTCACCGGGCGATGTGGGTAGACGGCCATGTGTGTGAGGGAGAGGGGGTTTAGCTGCCCGGCCTCCTGCTGCACCCCCTACTGGAATCTTACTGAGGCCCAGTGCCTTCACCTGGGGGATCTTTCTGTCTGTGCTCCTGTGGGCTGAGGGAAGGTGACAGCTGGAGGGGGCACGGGGGGGATACGTGGAAGTGGGCGTGGAGGAGGAAGGTTGATGTGATCGGGGCAAAGCGGGGGAGTTGTCACCTGTGGAGGGAAGCATGTGCCAGAGCCCCTGCATGTCGGCATCATCCACTCCTTCTGGACTTGCCATTTCTTCCCCCCCACCCATGTAGGCCACCACACCGCTGCCGGCTGGGTGCTGCTGAGGTGGGGGGGGCGCCCGGGCCCGTGCGGGGAGGGAACAAGGCACTGAGCATGCAGAAACAGAGAACATGTGTTGGATCCGCTGCGAAGGTAAAGGGGGTTTGGTTGGGGAGCTACGAGACGGGACACTGGTGATACCAACAGTTCTCCCAACACTTGGTCCCACACTCCCCCCTCCGCTGCTGCTGCTGCTGGTGCCACTGCCCCCATTACCCACTGGCCCCTCTTCCTCAGCATCAGCAATAATGTCACCACAGCCTGTTAGAGAGTCAAAGCTCTTGAGGGACGTGACGTCAGTGAAGAGGAGAGAGCAGAGGCGGTCCATTGAAGGTTCTGAGGGGGGGTCACCCGTGCTGCAACAATCCAAAGGGGGTGTAGCGAGTGAAGGGGTGAGGCTGGAAATTGATGCTTTGGCTATTTGGATAGGGGGGTGCAGCGGCGAGTCAGTGGGTGTGTAAGGAAAGGGGGAGTCTGGCTCACCAGATGGCCCTGGCATGGCAACACAGTGTGGGGGTGTCATAGTAACACTAGTAGTGGGAGTCTCTGGGTTGGGTGATGCCCGTGCATCCCCACAATCCACTTGGTGATGAGGAGGGGGTTCAAGGGTGAGCGTAATATCCGTTACCTTTTCAGAGTCGGCAACATCCCCATCCTTCTCCAGCTTCCGTTCAACCACTTCCCCCTCGCCATCATTTGTTTTGTCCTTACGTCTCCATCGCATGCTGCTAAAAAAGCCCTTTAGGCCCCTCCCTCTTCTGGAAATCCCTGTCCCTCCATTTTCACTCGACCTAAAACTCCCTCGTCGGAGTAAAGAGAAGAAACTTAGCGATTTGCTGAGTGACCTCACCGGCCCTGCCTCTATGATAGCAAGCCCCTCCCCTTTCTGTCCATCAGCATCGTTGTTAGAGCTCGTTAGTCCATCGTGGGTTCTGCTCCTAACGAGCTCCACCGACGCCGCTGACTCGTTTCCATTCAAAGAATTCCCATTGTCAGAGTTCCCGTTGTTCCCGCTGTTGGTAGCCCCTTTGTTCCTGAAGGAGAAGAAGCTGGCCATCCCAGAGCCGGTGCGCCTCTTCCCGAAGAGTTTGAAGGCAGCTTTGTTGATCTTCCCTGTGGGCTGGGGGTCACACTGAGGGGCCACAGGAGGCTCCACACACTCCGACTGCAGCTCCATTATCTAGCACTCTATCGCTCCCACTCTATCGTTAGCCTCAAGCTCTCTAGCTGCCTCTCTGTCCTCTCTCTCTGTCCACACATACACTCACCCTCTCTCTCACTCTTTCTCTCGACCCTGCTGTCTGGTGCTCTTTCACTCCCACTCTGACTTGCTCTAACGCCTGCCTGCTGGTTTTCTCTCAATGCCTGCCTCCCCTCCCCTCCTCTCTCCTACCCTCCCCTTCCCTCTCTCTCTCTCTCTCTTTCAGTCACACACACACACACATGCTAGGACCTGCTCCTTACTGTAACCATGGCAACTGGGTGGGCTAAGCAGCTTTCGTCAACGTTGGCGGGGCGCCAGTGTCTGTCCTCCACACCCTCCCCCATCCTCTTCCTCCTCTCTTCATCTACCTTCCCTGTCACCAATGCACTGTTTGCTCTTCTCTTTGCACTACTCATCAGTTTACAAGCCACACGTGCAACATCCCTGTGTGTGTGTGTGTGTGTGTGTGTGTGTGTGTGTGTGTGTGTGTGTGTGTGTGTGTGTGTCCAATTGTTTGTAGCCACTCATGCAATTAACATACAATCCTCCTTCTTTTAACATTAGCTATACTGTTAGTGTCTACGTTGGCAACCAGCAGACTGTCAGGGGGCATCTAGAGTAGTTAACTGTTTACTAACTGGAGGAAAAAGCAGTGGATAGCCTTAACGTGTTGCCTTGCTGATAATGTTCTTCTTAAATATGCATGGCTTAATATAATAAATGTTCTTTCAGTATGACAACGAACCAAATGATTCTGCAAATGTTCAAACACTCATTGAGGTATTATAGTGTGCTGAACAACACAACATTGATTTATAGCAGCTCTCCATCTCCACTTTTATGGATGTATGTCTTCCAAAATATTTCCTCCTCGCCTGTAGTGGATTCACTGGAGTTCCCCTCTTTTTGCTGAGAGTTTTCCACTCTGAGTGCTCTTTTTACTGCCTATTCTATCCTCCCAACCCCCCATGAATCTCCCTGATACCCCGACCCACTTACAAACTGCCTCTCCCCTCCCCTGCTCCTTCTCTCTCCTCCTCCTCCTCCTCCTCCTTAGTTGCTTTGGGCACAAGCTCTCCTCTTCCAGACCATTGCAATCAAACAATGTCTGCATTCATTCGCCAAAGGCAACACACACACCCACGGATCCACAGATATCTTCACACCCACACAGACACATTTTGAGGGCTTCCCCCAGAGTGAAGCGCTGAAGCATATCTTCCTTACACTTTCCCCATATAAGAACGATAATCTGTCCGCTTAGCCAACAAGTCAGTCACTCGGCCTGTCTGCCAGAGTGCAGGTGCATCAGATACTTAAGCAGAATGCCCTACAGTCATGCTAGCAGGTCAGCTATTGGATGGACTTGACTCTGAGCAGCAGATGGCGGGCAGAGACTGATGAGTGGGCTCAGTTATCACATGATGAGACAAAGGATTTCTTAGGGAGGAAAGGCACATGGTTATCCTGCTTTAATCATTCCAACATCAGCAAAGTACCAGAATGCAATACTAGTCTATTCTGTAAATAGGACCATAATCTAGATCTGATTGTACTCCTAATCCATTTTACAGTGCTGAACCACATTGGATTTGGTGGTGAAACAACAGGTTTTAGAGGATGATACCAATTAAACTTTAAATACAAAAGTAAAATGCTAATGCCGAAAGAACTATTCCAGAAGCTTTTTTATGGACATGTCTATGAAAATGCAACATGTGCTTCCTTAATGAGCTTAGATGAGATGCATGCAAGAAACAGCAGAAGTCCACACACTGTTATCTTCACACACACACCCTCCCCATCTGTCTAAATAGGGTTCCCGTTTCAGCCCCCTGAGTGAAGCTCGGCACTAAGTGGGACAGTTAGAGGACATTTTCTCTCTCTGCCTCTCTTCCTCTTTTACTGTGTTATCCAACAATATGGCGTATCATTTGCATTCTGTCTGCATGTGGCTGCTTAAAGTGCTTTCAAACTCTCCATACTCTGCTTGTGAAGAGCCTCAGGAAGCAAATATTGACTTTGCGTGCAATGGGAATGCATGAAAGGATGGATTGATGCATAGGATGTAGAACATTTGAATACCGGAGATCATCTTGATATGGTGATGGAAAGAACATCAGAATTTGAAAGAACAATTTTTTTATTCAATTTCTGAGGTCATATTAAAATTTAAATAATAAAAGCACAGCCATAGCAACAATGTTCCAGAGATGCAAATCATTTCCATGTTAAGGAAATATTTGTTCTGCAGCTCTTACCTTTATTCCGCATGTAAAGCCTCTAATGAATGAGATTATTGAAGATGACATTGTCTAAAAAGTAATGATCTATTCTTTTTTTAATCCACTTAATCTTTTTACACATGAGTTCCATCATTTCTGAACCTCTGCAAAACCATTAAACTACATATTTATTTTTAGATAAATAATCCAATTCTGAAAATAAAAGTGCAAAGCCACTAAAACAATTTCTGATTCACCACCCTGTTTACTTTGCGTTAAAAAAATTATACAAATATTCCCTTGATTGTATAAAGGTGTGTAAAGGTAATACGCCAAATTCAACTTTGCCTCAATTGGCTTAGGAACACGTAATATCTTACCGTTAATCAGTAATACCAGCAGATATTTTAGGTCTGACAGATGATAAAAAGAAAAAACACCTGCTGTGAACTTGCTACCCACGCTGAAGCCACATTTGCTAATATTTTTGACATTTCAGACAGCAGTGTGTCAGCCATTACTCCAACAAGTCAGGTTACATTTGGATCAGGGCTGCATGTAAGTGTAAGACTTTTGTCAAGGATGGAATAAATACCGTTGACAGGATATCCATATTTTTCCTTTCAGTATGGCCTCCGAGAAATTCCATGACGTGCATTCAATGGTTCACATATATCATGCCTGTAAAGGATTATTGGTGCAAACAGGCAAAGGTTTAGCTGTTTGTTTGCAAACACATGTACCTAACCTTTTGAAATCACACACAGATTCTTATCATCACCATCGTTGCCATCACTAAGAGTCTTGTTAGTCAGGATGTTTTAGGACAGAGGGTCTTCCAGCTCCAGATTAAACTAATCCAGTTTGTGTGTTTGTTGGCGCACATGTCTATGTTTGTGTGGGTAAAGTTAAACCCACAGGATTACCCCCTGTGCTCTTTAGTTACTTTAGAAATCAACAGGGAGTGACACTAAATGTTGTAAAGCCATCTAAGCACAGGCCAAACACTTTTAATGTATGTGTTATGTTTTTTTGCCTTTTTCATAAGCCAAAGAATTAACAGCCCACAAAATACACCTGTACATAACATACGTAATAACCTGAATAATGGTCCTGAATTATTAATTGATCAAATTAAACATTATTTTGCCAACATTACTTTTTTTGCAGCAGATGATTACAGAAAATTACAACTTGAATTCATCATAATATTGATGGCTCTGTAAGATTGAGTTTTTGCCAGATTCCTGATTTTATTTGGGCTGGCTCTTTGACATGACACACCATAGCACATAAATGGAATAGAGCCATGATTATGGTTATTAGTTAGATCTTGGCTTATCCAACTGTAACATTTCCAAGTATCTGTCATGAAAAAAGTATATACCCTCCAGGTGCACACTACACCCCAAATGATTGGGAAACATGCCATGACTATATTTTATGACAAGGGTGTTTTACTTGATAGAGAAAGTAAAAAATGAATAACACCAGTGAGTAGATAGAGAGTGCAATTACCAAATACTGATGAAATGCTTTTGACATCGAGTTCTGCTTTAGGAGAGCAAATCCCATTTTCAACCACATGTGCCCCATCTACATATAGTGTGTGCATGTATACAGTTTGCATATCTATGTGGGCTGTCTGTGTGTACAGTGTATAGACATGTTGCATGAGTATTACAAGCGTTTATGTTGAGTATTACATCCTTGTACTCAGGAGTGCTCTGCCAGCATGGCGTGCAGTATTTATCTGAATGATTCAAAGCCCCCAGCAGCTTGTCTCTAGAAGAGACTGCTCAATATTTAATGTGGGGTAACATGCACAAGTAGGCTACAGGAAGACCTAGTACAGAGAGAGAGAGAGAGGTGAAAAGGGTATAAAGGTGTTAGAGGTAAGAACTTGCCGCACCGCTTTGTCAATATAGAAAAACTGCGTCCAACTTGCATGAACTTGAAGTTTACAGCTATCCAAGCAACTCAAGCAAATACACACTGCAAGGTAGAACATGTCTGTAATCAAACTAAGGCATACAGTTATAAAAAGCCTCTTTTGCAACCAACATATAAATATGTTACATAAATAACTCATAACCATCCCAATGAATTAAAAGTTAACTTAAGGTTGTTGAAAACCTGATTCTTTATTGGTCTGTCGTCTATTCTGTGTGTGTACTCAATTCTTGTTGCCTTTTTCGTCTGATTGTAAAGAGTATGGAGCTTTGGAGAAAGCTGACACAAGGGTTTCAAACATCACACTGCAGTGCCAGTTTATCTTTATTGCAAGTTCTTGTAACTGCTCATAGAGATTGATTTGTCTGAGACCAATGGTCACTTAGTCTGATTGCTTTGTGAATGTGGGTATATGTGTGTGTAAGCACAAAACTCAATTTATTCCTGCAGTTGGGTTTGAGAGAACAGTGAAGCATATTTTTTTCAGTGGGAACTAGCTCACTGAAATGCTGCTAAGACAGATTCTATAAAGTATTTAGAGAGGCACACAGGCTGGAGCCTCCAGAGTAGTTATGTGTTATAGTTTTTTTTTCCTGTCATGCAAAGCACTTCACAAATAAAATGTATGATAATGATGTTGCACTTGCAGAGACTCACACCAATCATTCACCCTGTAAATGCTGACGTCCTGCAGGTTTTACATCTCATCTTCCTGAAGCAATCGGATTGAGTAAGATGTTAGCTTGTACAGTAAATCAAATCCTTTCTGAGCTCCAGTATGAAGGCACCAACACCAGTCTGGAATGTACACAGAATGATTATGGTCTTTGAGAAATGCTGAGCCAAAACACATCATAAATATGTGAACTTCAAGCCTAAATGAACATGCCATGGTCCCAGGGCAACACACCTAACCTACATTGAACAAAAATATAAACGCAACACTTTTGTTTTTGTTCCCACTTTTCATGAGATGAACTCAAAGATCTAAAACATTTTCTATATACACAAAATAACCATTTCTCTCAAATATTGTTCACAAATCTGAAAAAATCTGTGATAGTGAGCACTTCTCCTTTGCCGAGATAATCCATCCCACCTCACAGGTGTGGCATATCAAGATGCTGATTAGACAGCATGATTATTGCACAGGTGTGCCTTAGGCTGGCCACAATAAAACGCATTGAGCATGGTGGGATGCTCTGGATCGGCATATACGACAGCGTGTTCCAGTTCCTGCCAATATCCAGCAACTTTGCACAGGCATTGAAGAGGAGTGGACCAACATTCCACAGGCCACAATCAACAACCTGATCAACTCTATGCACTCGTCCATAACATACGCCTGCCCGATACCATAACCCACCACCACCATGCGCCACTCAATTCACAACATACCCTACACCTAACCCTCATAGACCAGATACTGACTGGTTTTCAGAAACCCCCCAGACCCCCCCAATAAAGCCAAAAAATGCACGTTTCAGAGTGGCCTTTTATTGTGGCCAGCCTAAGGCACACCTGTGCAATAATCATGCTGTCTAATCAGCATCTTGATATGCCACACCTGTGAGGTGGGATGGATTATCTCGGCAAAGGAGAAGTGCTCACTATCACAGATTTTTTAACAATATTTGAGAGAAAGGGTTATTTTGTGTATGAAAATGTTTTAGATCTTTGAGTTCATCTCATGAAAAATGGGAGCAAAAACAAAAGTGTTGCGTTTATATTTTTGTTCAGTGTAGTTAAACAAGAGAGTAAAAAAGAGCCATACTCTATACCTATTAGGGTGGTCCTTAAAATTGAAAGTCGGAAAGTCTAAGCTCCAACCCCCAGAATTCATTCTATTAGTCAAGAAAACTCTC